TGATATTCACTACCAGTACTGAAAATTTATAGTGTACATAACATAAACTACAGATTTGCAGTAGTAGCAGTGAATAGCGGAACGCAGCATTAAAGTATGCTAACTGAACTCTTAAACATTAGAAAGGAAATATGAATACGAAATGTAATACAAACTAATATGAAATGAAGAAGAACAATATGTTATCTGAAATCTAAGATGTCAAAATGATTTGTAGCTTTGCTATCATTTTCACCTATTCAAGAATCATAAGGTGCATACAAAATTTGCATGATTGCTTGCTGTCGTTTTTGTTTTTCATACGATGATAATCTTTCTAATTGATTTACGATTAATCTTGCAAAAGTTTCGTCCGGACCACCAATCACTTCGGAATTATGATTATCCTGGAAACGTTGATGCATAGTTTGGCAAAGTAAAATTAGAGAACTCTCTAATTCAGTCGAGTAATTTTTTTTCTTCAATGGTTTTCGTGACAGTGGAGTAGTTTGAAAAACTTTAGGTGCTGGAGAAGATGTTGACTCTCGTGTTGAAAACACAGAGCTTCTTGTCAATTCATCAGATTCAAGATTATCAGATACATCTTGAAAATGCCAAAGTGAACCAGTTGAACCACTTGAGTGATCATTTTCGAGTGATGTCATTGATGATGAAATAGGACCAGTGTTTGACAAGAAATTTTCTTTAAATGGTGTTAAAAAATTTGCACACGGTTGGATTGGTACTTCATCTTTTGAAAGTGTGAGGCGATTTTGGAGGTTGAGGGTTCCGTACTTTCAATGATTACACTGTCCATTGAAAGATTCGTTTCTTGTCTACTTTTTTTAATTATGGGTGGTGAAATCGCTGACGAGATGTCTGTGTCAGGCTTATTTGTTGTGACTTCTATTGTCTGTAGACATTTCCAATTTGAAACGTTTGTATGGGACCTGAGGAAGTCATACAGTATTACATACCAAAATATGCGCCAGCAAAATATACTACATTAATTTATATTACTGATCTATAAACTTACTTCCTTGTTTTAATATGGTTATTGAGAAATAACATATTTTCGTAATATATAAAACCATTCCGCCGACTAACTCCACTACCACTTCTTGAATCCAATTCCCTTTGACGTCTCTCTTTACCGAATTTTTCACGAAGCCTTACCCATCGGTTTTGACAATCCGAAGCTATAAAAAAAATATTTTCTTATTGATAAATAATGAAATTCATACAAGAAATAAATAACTTAAGTGCATATTACAATAATTATCAGTATCAATTTATATTATAGTATATATTGCGACGATACTCGCGAACGGAACTTCTCGCGAGCGACGGCAAACAGTCGCCTGTTCGCCGCGTCTGCAAATTGCCGTCGGCTCCCGGACACGCCACAAAGATTTCCGCGAGAGTTGGGCGCCAGGTACGGAAAGGCCGCACCACCTCGATAAACGCAAGAATAAATAATTAACACAAAAGGAATGCGTGTCCCGGAACCGTCGGGACCGGTACTCTATTAAATTTAAGTCGGAGACGGGATGGGTTGGAGGAAGCGAAATCACTACACTTGGTAACGGTAATAAAGAGACGTTTATTCAGGGACTCTCGCACGTCCCGATCGTTAATATACGCGAAACGATATAATTCGCGAGACGGTACACTACGCGAAACGGTACACTAAGCCCGAGGACGCTTTCCTCGGGCGAGCCTTCTTTATCCGCGCGACCACTCCGCGGACGAGACACAACGGTACGATACGGTGCGCGACACAATTAATTTTAGAGCAGATGGTCAGTCTTACAGATTGTCGGCGGCGACCCTTGCGTCGGCGGCGGTGTCAGCGGTGACGGTAGCGGCGGCGGTCCTCCTTCTCTTGCTCTCTCTCTCCTCTCTCTCTCCTCTCACTCTCTCCCGCTTCGCTCGCTCCTTCTCTCACTTCGCTCTCTCGCTCTCTCTCTTTCTTCGCACTCTCTCACTCCTCTCTCTCTCTCTGCTCTCTCCCTCCGCTCTCTCTCTCTACTCTCTTTCTTTCACACGCGATACTTGCTCGGTATTTTTCTCTGCGTCTGAGCGCGGCGGTAGTCGCGGTAAGGCTAACAGCTGATCGGCTCTGGGAGGATCACGTATCCTCGTGGATCCTCCCTCGTCGCTACCCCCTCGTCCTGGGGTCGTCGGTAGTCGGGAATCGGCAGATTTCGGTACCATTGTCTCGAGACGCTTTTCGTCTCGAGACGTTGTTGACATCGGGAGTTCGCTTGGTTGTCTCTCTCGGCTCTCCCGTTTTTTCCTGCCGGGTTTCTCGTGACGGCTGCTTCGCTGAAAGTAAATACAGATGATCCGTCTAAACGCGATACTGTATTATGACTACGATAATTTCTCAGCAATAGAATATTTTCTATTGCTGAGCGTCCGATAATTTTCGATAATAATTTTGTGTCGCCAAAGTACGAGAGTGCGATTCACCTGAGCAGAGCTTCGCTCTTTGTCGTCCTCTGCATCCTCCCTCGATGTCCTCCGCTCCTCGTCCTGGTGGCCGGCAAGGGGCGTCGAGGGGCACAAAATTCGGGACGCTCTGACCTTCGCATCTGCTCCGCTCGCAAAATCGCTTCTTCGCTTTGTTCTATATTTTGCACAACAAACAATCCGACGGAACGCGATATTCGGCAAGGTCTCGAAAACCGTTAGCGACACGGCACGCGATAAACATTCTCTACACTAATCGGTACGGGGTTCTTGAGACGGGCGCCTCCACGGCTGCCACGTCACAACTCCCCCCTCCCCGGGGAAGACCGCCCCGGTCGCCTCAGCCATGGGCTCGCCATGACCGCCCATCTGCTCACAAAATTTTATGTTTTTCGCGGCGCGTGCTCGCGGTAATCCCTGCGAGCTGTTCGCGATAGTCTTGGTTTTCTTACGTCTCGTCTCGCGGCACGGCGATTGTGAGGGGCACGACTTCCCTCATCGGTATTCCGCGAGGACGATAATCTTCGCGTGGTATTTCGCCTGAGGTGTGGGATCGTTAGGGAAGGTCACTAAATGTAGACTTTTCTGTCTTTCTCTCTCTTTATTCGTGGCTGATCATGGTAGAGAAGAAAAAAACGAAAAGCGAGAAGAAAAAGAAATAGAAAAAAAAACGGTAATTGGTGAGCTGGTCAGCCGCCTCGCCGTGGTCCCTCCTTATTGGAGCCGGCCTCCCTCCAGCCGCTCTTACAGCGCGGGCAGTCGCGGAGGGTGGTTCCCCGCGCCCCGCACCGGTAACAAAATCCATTACCCCTGGGACGGGGGCACTCCGAATACCGGTAGTCGGGGCGGCCGCAATTCCAGCAGCCTTCACCTCCCCGGCCACCGGAAGCTGCCCGCGCCGGCTGCGAGGCCCTGTCGGTACTGGGCCCTGGACTCGGCTCCCTCCGGGCCGGTCGGCCGCGAGCCTCTCGCTCCACCCGCCGGTGGACTTCGGCCAGGACGTCCTCGTAGACGTCCCACCATCCGGAGGTCTGGGTGGTGGTGCTGTCCCTCGGGCGGCGGTCCGTCTGTGTGCCGACGTCCGCCGTTGTTGGGAATTCGCGCACCACCGCCCCCCGAGTGGTGGTCCGTTCAGTCCTGGCTCGTTCCATCAAATCCCGGGCTCCCTCCCAGAAGCCCGGGTGGTTTCTGCCGATGTTCCTGAATACGACGTGATATTGGCGTCGGAAGGCATCCCACCGGCGGTGGAGGTCGTCTCGGTCGGCCATTCCACGTAGTTTCGGTAGGTGGTCTATAAAGAGGTGGGTTGCACGTAAGGCTTTAGTTCCTTCACGTGCACTTTACCCACCACCTTTCCGTCCAGGCATGCAAGCTCACACACGACCGCCGATCTCATCTTCGAGATTTTATATGGCCCCTGAAATTTCGGGGCCAACTTTGCGGCCGTGTTGTGAGCGGCAGACGATAAGACATGCTGTCGTCGTAACACCAAATCTCCGATACGGTAATTCGCGGGGCGTCTCCGCAAGTTGTAGTGTGCGGACTGCCGTTGGTACGCGGCCTCTAGGTTCTCGCTAACCCACACATGCAACTGCGAGAACTGTCTCATCCGCTCTGACCATCGAGCCGGATCTTGCTGTTCGATATCTAGGTGTTCGGTACGATACTTCCGCAGTGTGTGCGACGGTTCGAGTTCGCGGCCGAGATTCAAAAATGCGGGCGACGTACCTAATGACGAGTGGTGTGCGGTATTGTAAGCGAAACGAAAATCGGTAATGTGCGCGTCCCATTCGCGATGATCTCGATCGAGGAACGCCACGATCATCGTTTTCAGAATCCGATTCACCCGCTCGACCGGGTTGGCCTGCGGGTGATACGGCGGTACGGTAGAGTGGCGTATTCCACGCTCTTTCGCGAAATCTTCAATTGTTTTATTGACGAACTCGGTACCATTGTCTGTCAGCAGGACTTTCGGTGTCCCCCAGCGCGATATTACTAGGTCCTCGATAGCTGCCCGTATGAGCTTTCCGTTCGCGGCACGCAAGGCACGGCACTCTACCCATTTCGAGAATAAATCTTGAATCACCAA